ATGTTGGGGGGGTCCGACAAGATTCTTCTTCTTTAAGTGCAGTCTCCCAATCAGAGGTTGGATTTCATCATCACTATCTTTACTTTATCTTCTGCTGCTCTAAAGAGTTCTATAGAACTGCATTTAAATCATTCCCTTAAATTCTTCAACCATGACACTCTCCTTTTTCCTATACTCCTTCCTCCTCTTATCTTTCCCTGTATTATCAGCCTTAGCAGTTCATATCGCTGTCCCCTCATTACGTGTCCCAGATATTGTAACTTTCTTATTTTTCTGAAGCTATTTTCTTGTGGCATTGTAAATTAATTACTATTTATAACTGGAATAAGCCACAATTAAAGATAAAAATACGTTTATTGACGTTTCAATTTCCAATTCGGAACGATTTCCGAATTGGAAATTGAAACGTCAATAAACGTATTTTTATCTTTAATTGTGGCTTATTCCCAGTTATAAATAGTAATTTTCTTATTTTTATCGTGTTTATTATTTCGCATTCTTTGCCCATTTCTCGCAATACTTTTGTGTTAGTTTTCTTCTGTGTCCATGCTATTCTAAGCATCCTCCTGTAACACCACATTTCAGAGGACTGTAACTTATTTATGTGTTCTTGCTTCAATGTCCAGCTTTCAAGTCCATATTACAGTATAGTACAAGATTCTTTGGTATGATGTTATTTGGGATGTCATTTATTTTTGCTTCATAATCTTGAATATTCATTACTACCTTAGTGTTGCCTTTGTTAGCTGGAAGCACGATGATTATTCTTTAAATTATGTAGGGCTTCTTTGCATGTTTCGTGGACTTCGAAAAGGCATTCGATAAAGTACAGCATGTAAAATTAATGCAAATACTGAAAAATATCGGAATAAATGACAAGGATATTCGTGTCATTAAAAATTTGTACTGGAATCAAACTGCTATCGTAAAAATTGGAGATAACTACACCGATGAAATCCCCATACAACGAGGAGTCAGACAAGGTTTTATTTTGTCGTCAACATTGTTCAATATTTACTCGGACCAGTTATTTAAAAAGGCATTTGAGAGACAACCATATGGAATAAAAATCAACGGGGAACTACTTAATGTGATTAGATATGCAGACGATACACTAATCCTATCAGATAATATTGAAGGTCTTCAAATTCTGTTTGATCGTATTCACGAGGTAGGAGAGGAAATGGGCATTAAAATAAACTCAAACAAAACCAAATTTTTGGTATTTAGTCGTGACCCACATCCCGATGTAAAGCTTCAATTGAACGGAGTCCAAGTTGAGAGAGTTCACAAAATGACATATTTGGGAACTGTGATAACGGACCAATTAGATCCAGACATAGAAATAAGACGTAGAATAGCAGTGACTAAAACTACTTTTATGAAAATGAAGTCATTTCTTTGCAATAACCATCTCAGTTTAGAACTAAGGCAAAGAATAGTTAAGTGCTATGTTTGGTCTGTACTTTTGTATAGTGCAGAAGTGTGGACGCTAAAAGTATCGATCATGAACAAAATTGAAGCATTCTAAATGAGGGTTCATAGACGAATGCTGAAAATACCTTGGACAGCAAGAAAAACTAATGAAGAAGTACTAAGGAGCGTCAACAAAGACAGAGAACTGCTAAAGACTGTTAAACATCGAAAAATGTCTTATCTGGGACACATAGTAAGGGGAAGTCGATATAAAATCTTACAACTGATCCTTAAAGGCAAAATAGAGGGCCGTAGAGGTGTAGGAAGAAAACAAGATTCTTGGTTAAAAAACATTAGTGAATGGACTCAGATACCAAATGCAGGACAATTATTCCATATTGCAGAAGATCGCGAAGCCTTCGCAATGGTGATCGCCAACGTCGGATAAATCTGATATGGCACGCGAAGAAGAAGAAGAAGGGTTTCTCTTCCTGCGCATGTTAAATTTATTTTTGGTGGTTTCTTCTTTAAGTGCCATCTCCGCGACGAAGGTTGGCAATCATCATGGCTATTCTGATCTTCGAGGCAGCTGCTCTGAACAATTGCCTTGAGCTGCAACCAAACCACTCTCTTAGGTTCTTCAACCAGGAAACGCGTCTACGCTTCCTAGGCTTCTCCTGCACTCTATTGTTCCTTTAATTATCTCAAAATGTTGTATATTTCGCCTCTCATCACATGTCCGAGATATTGCAATTTTCTTTTTTCTTTTATTGTATTTTATATTTCCCTCTCTCTGCCTATTCTCCTTAACACTTCTGTATTCGTTACTCTATCTACCCATGGAATCCTTAACAACCTTCTAAATGTCCACATTTCAAACGCGTTAAATCGATTGATTGTATTCCGGTTTAATGTCGACTGTCTCGTTTACCAAAGCTTCTTGTATGATTTCTTCAGAATAAGCATTAAACAATAACGGTGACAGTATGCAACCTTGCCTGACCCCTCTCCTTATCTCCACTTCTTCTGATACTTCACTTCCAATTTTCACATATGATCGTTGGCTGTAGTATAAATTTGATATCAATGTTACATCCCTCACATCCAGATTCTTGTCTTTGAGTACTTCTATAAGTCGGTCATGTTTTTTCTTATCGAATGCCTTGTTGTAGTCTATAAAGCACACATACATTTGGTGGTTTGGCCGTTCTTAATATTGTGGATACGTCTTGGCGTATGATCTCGGCTGTTTCTGCTGGTAGATTGTTAATAATAGTCTCTACTTCGGTAATTATATTTTCTACGGGAATTTGTGCAGGTGCAACAACAAAATTAAAACCTTTTGGGAGAACACTGTTGGTGGTCTCGTCCAATGTCAGATTTGAGAAGTTATAAACTAATTTGTTGGTGTCTGTTAGTCGCTTTTCTTCTTTGGCCTCTGTTGTAGTAATAAATTCTCGAACTTTTTGATCTGTTTTTTCTTAGTGAGGTCACAGTCTATTTCACCTCGAAAGTTTGTCAGTTTATCAAACAAATTCCACAGTATTGGATGAATTGTATTGCTTACTTTAAGGTGCAGCTGTAAGGACTCTGAGTTTATGTTATCGATGTCTCGTCTGGTGTCATGAACCGCTTTTCTAATCAGCGCTAGGCTTGTCCTTCTTAAGATGTTTTTGGTTTTATTGTTGTTTTTGTGAAACTTGAGCTTCAGACATGTCGGTAAAATGTTTTTTTTTGGTCACAGCGAAAACATAAACTAAAAAACGTATAACAAAGTACTTCGCTTCGATCGTAGTTTTTCGTGTCTTCAAGGTGAAGAATCCAGCTTTGGTATGCAATTTTTGTATTTAGCTCCAATATAAGTTAGTTTTTATAAAGGTGTTAAATAAATAAACGTTCCGCAATTTTTGCCATTTTTTATGATTCTCATGAGATCAATAAAATAATTTCGGTTTGGAGTTTTGGCAATAAATGTGTGACATTTAACTACACAACTTCAGCTACAAATTCCACCCAATAGTGCCTTCATGGAGACCTTTACCGTGATGCGGGATAGTTTGTACTTTAAAAGTTTAAATTCTTCGTTCTTTAGGCATATTTCAAATGCCTCATATTTATTGTCGAAATCGAAATCGAAATTCCATATAGGTTTTGAAGATTAGGCTCTGAAATGGCAATGAAAATTCCATTACGACCGGTCAACATTTTTTATTTGAAACGTTTTTTTTATGACCTACAGATTCTAGATAAATGGATTTTATTCGGTTTCCTCCTCTACGATGGTACTACTATGAGTAGTAAAAAGGGTGTAAAAGTGGTCAAATTTTTTTACACTGTATGGTGGTAATCTTTTTACACTTTCTCAGCAAAAGTTGACATTCTCAGCAAAATTCAGCTTGTTCGTATGATATTTAGAGGTCAAATCTCTGATGACTGGGATAAAAAAATTGTTCATTTTAATTACTGTCAATAAACTTTGAGCAATAAAAACTTTCTTTGCAATCAATCAGTAACCTATGTTATAAAGGAGAAGTTTTTAAAATAACTTCAAATTACGGAGTAGCCCTAATTTTATACTCGGTTCTATGTCCATATTAAGAAATTTATGAGATCTGCTTCAAAAGTACATTACCCCGTAAATTCGCAATTTTTTTTTCTGGAATCCGGTTTGTGGAGTCCTTTAAAGTAATTCCCAATGGTGCTAAGTCACTGAAGCAGTTCCGACATTATTTTCCTATTTACCTTGAATGCCTTCGTCGCGTTCGTTTGAATCGTTTCGATGGCATCGAAACGGTACCCTTTAAATGGCAATTTCAGTTTTAGAAACACTGTTATACGGACACCGGTGAAGTTTTTGATAAAAACATGAATATGCTGGTACATTAGTGATTAAGGAACCAGTTGCTGCTCGCCCAAAATTGGGACCGTTTTATTCTCATTGCATCTCGAAATCTTACTAGAGCTTTAACGTAATATTTTTTGTTGATTTCTTAGCTCTTAAAGGGTATTCATGAAGTAAAACACCTTCGTAATTGAAAGTAATCAAAGTAATCAAAATTGACTTGGTTGTGCGGCCTTTTTTTTAAACCGATTGAACCGTATTTCCTGCATCAAAGAGCTGTTGCATTATCTAAATAAATATTGCGGTTCAAGAGCTACTAATTACGCTCTCACTCCACAGAGGTCGCTGTAATCTTTTAATGCGAAGTAATGAGAAAAGTTGGATACTTTTGGAATGCACTTCGTATATCTAGGAGTATAAATTATAAAATATTGTCACACTTCTTTAAAATAGCTTTATTCGGAACACCAACATTGTTACAATACTTGTTTACAACAACTCAATGACAACTATAAACTTCAAAACTCAAAATACTATTATTGTTAACTGTCAACAACATCTGTTTATATATATTTTCTGAAGTTCATTAGAAATTTCAGGATTCTTGGATGACATCTCGAAAATTCTAGATTTCTTCATTACTTCTCCTTTTTCGTTAAGGGACTTTTTCTATATGAAATAAATCTCAAGCAACTTTCGTTGGTTGAGATTTATTTTATTTACAATATATTTTATTTTTTAGGGAACTTGACATGGATGCTCAGTTAATCATACAGATGCAAGGAAAAACTACTGGGATTTTGAATTGTAAAGTAAGAATAATAGTACACCAGTGGCGGCTCGTGACATCTGCTATAGGGTGTGCTGCATGAACCACGGTCAATATAAAATAATAGAAATAGAATAACATACGAAAACAAAAACAATAAAATTAGCTTTAATACTAATTAATAGTAACTAATAACGACATGCTATAAAAATCTGATTAACTTACATTTATTGCATTTTTCTAAATTGGAAATTAATACGCCGGTCCTTTTTTGTCGCAAACTTTTCGATTACTTTATCGTTAAAGTTCGGTATTGAAGCGATGAACTTTTTTTCTATCGAGAGTGTGGAAAGGGCTGTTAATCTGTCTTCGCACATTGAATTTCTTAAAAATGTTTTGATCCGTTTTAAAGTTGAAAAACTACGTTCAGCTTCTGCTGTGGTCATTGGCGTAGTCACCAGAATTTGTATCAACTTTTTGGTTTCTGTTAATGTGTCCTCTAAATTATTAGAAATTATAAATTTTAGTAAAGGCACTGCACCTTTTAATGTTCTACACTCGATATTGGAATACAAAACTGACAGTTCTGTTCGCAAACGGTTTTTATCAAAGAAGTTATAAGCTGTACAAGTTAAATCCAATTCATTTTCAGGAAACTTATTATTATATTTTTCGAAATGTTCTGAAGATAAAAGTGTTGCGGCAACTAGATGATTTGTATATGCAAACCGTTCTTTTGCATTGTTTATAATAACATCACAAACTTCTAGACAGGCAATACGGTGATCCTGTTGGCTGTTATTTGGGCGTTTCCTTTTTTGGACACTAGGCGCCGCATTTAAATTTGAAGCTTGATGTATGATAGGGTCTATTTTATTTCGGACATTGTTAATACTTTGCTCAAAAACATGTATAGCTTTCTGTGCTTCGGTTGGGTCCATGTTCTTTTTTTGAAGATTATTGTACAAAACGTCAACATGTGGCATAATATAATGAAAAACAGTCAGCCAGAAAGTAAAATTTTGATCTTCCAGAATACGTCTAAGTCCTCTTGCTTCCTTGGAAGTAATAGCATTTGACTCTTCTTCTAGTTGCTCCATACACTCAATAATAAAGTCTCTATATTCGTAAACGACATTTACTGTACGAATATTGAAATTCCAGCGTGTAGGGATTGAACGAGGAATATTTTTTCCAACTATTTGATTTAAGACAGCTATTCTTTGAGGTGAATGACTAAAAAATCCAGGTATATCATGTAAATCTCCAAAAAATACGCGTACTTGGGAATTAATAGAACATGCTCTTGACATTATTAGATTCAATTGATGGGCGTAACAGTGCACAAAATGAGCAGTTTCATATTTTCTCTTAATTATTGTTTGCACTCCGCCATGTATCCCACTCATAACAGCTGCTCCGTCATAACTTTGTGCAATGAGCTTATTTTTGTTATTCTTTAATATTGGGTCTAAAACATTCAAAATTGTGTTAGCTAAGGTTTCAGCATCATGTTTTTCTGGAAGCAAAAAAGTCCAAAACCTTTCAACTGGAGCACCGTTTTTTACATAACGAAAAACAATGACCATTTGAAATTTCATAGAAACATCCGTTGTCTCATCAGCTATCACTGCTAAAAATGGGGCTTCATTAATTTCGTTTAAAATCTCCTCAGCGTATACTTCTAGCATGCAATCCAAAATATCATTTTGTATTGTTTTTGAGGTACCTTTGAAAATTGTCGCATTTGTAAGGTGTTCACTAAGTGTTTTATCAAGTTCAGCAGAAAAATTCACTAAACCACGAAAAATTCCAGGGTTATCTGATGTTTCAGATTCATCGTGTCCTCGTAAGGCGAGCTCAAAAGCCCCACAGAATTTTATACAGTCAATTATTTTTGACAAAACATACCTGTTTTTCGTCACCTCTTCATTGTGTTTTTGTATATTTATCCAATAAGCAGAGTCAAGTTGGGCCTGTATATTAAGTTTCCCAAATAATGCAAATCGCATTTCATTGTTCATATGAGTTTGCGTGTTTTCATGCTTCTTTATTTTTTCACTTAAATGCACTAGATCCCGCACTCCTGTCTCGCGCCACAATTTTTCCTCTTTATCTGCGCCGAATAATGCACACGGAAAACAGAAAAAAGCATTTTTTTCGGAACATCCACAAATCCACTGATTTCGTAGATACATGTCTTTATTAAATTTACGCGTATATGTTTTTCCACGGCTTTTACCGGACACTTCAATATTAAGATCAGGCATAGGACGGCCACGTTCTTTTATAATCAACTGTTGTTGATAGTGAAGTTTTTGAAATTTATTTACACCTAATTTAAATTGAAACTCCATTGTTTTAAACACGCTCGAACAAAACAAATTAAACAAAATTGTAACCTAAGAATTTCTAAACACGGCACAGATGCAACGGTCACGAATAACTGTCGTGAATTGCAGCTCGCAAACACATTTCCGAGGCCGTTAATCAGCCGATTGCCGAAGCACATCGGCTAAGATCGCCGTTTGCCTAATAAATGCATTTTACCGCTGCCAGTGTTTCGGTTGTTATCGACGCGGCTTCACTGGAGCAGCAAATACGTAAAAAGATTGCTTCACTGGAGCACCAAATACGTAAAAAAATTATACGGTTTCACTAGAGGAGTAAATACGTAAAAAAAATAATATTAATCATCGTTGTTGGTGAATTATTATTAACAGTTTATGTTTAATATGATAATATGGCAGATTTGAAATAAAACTATATTAACTATTCTTTAATAATTAAGATTTGCTATGGTTGTTTGGTAGTTCTGCAGCTCAGCAGCACATAAAGAAAAGCCGCCACTGTAGTACACCCATTCTTAATTAACGATTTAACATTTACACAAATATATATTTTTAACTATTTTCAGGCAAATACAAGAGACGAGAGCATTCGATATAAGGAATTTACATTTGACTATTCTTACTGGTCACATGATTCTAATTCTGACAATTTTGCATCTCAGGAACTAGTTTACAATGACTTAGGAAAGGAAGTTATAGATTGTGCTTTTGAAGGCTATAATGCATGTGTTTTTGCTTATGGACAAACTGGAAGTGGAAAAACTTTCACTATGATGGGATCACCTGTAAGTATAAAATTCAGTAACTTTATAGAATTTCATTTTACACATTTTCCTATTAGGTAACTTGTATTAACTGCTTTGTTACTTAATTTTTTAATTACTTTTTGAGTTTTCAACTACTTTCGAGGCAAAAACGATTTTTGACATTTTTTTTTCATTTTTGATAACCTCGCCAGTTCTGGAGCTTTAATATGAGTATATGGCAAGATGAATTGAATTGCAATATACTAAAGATGATGAATATCATATATCATAATAATATGATGAATATCATAATAGTATATGGTAAGATGAATTCAATTGCCATATACTGAATATGATGAATGTTCTTGCTAAAAGGTTTTTCAAATATAAAGCTAAAATAACCGATCTATAAGTTTGGAGTAGTTAAAGTTATACAGCCAGAAACCTGCATTATTATGTGGAGCATTCCTACGTGTAATTTGTCCTAGTGCACAGTATTTAACGTAGATATTCTGCTACTCTAGCTAACATAACTCATGGACATAGATCTGAATATGTGCAACAGAAAGGGCTTCATTAGAAAATACTTGCATATACGAGGGCGGTCCGATAAATAGACTCAGTGACTGATACACAGTGGAATGGGGTAATTCTCCGCACCCTCCCCCAACAAAATTAAAGAAAAAATTGTTAACAAAAAAATATATTAGTTGACATGAAACTTACACCACACTAGTTGGGAAAATTAAAGGAACTTAATGTCTTTTATGTAGTTTGTGTTTATCTTTTTTATGTCTTTTGGTTCATTTCATTCTAAGTTTTTAACCTCAATCCCCCCTCCGAGGCAAAAGTCTCGATCGAGTACTGTTATACTATAAAAGGAAAACGAAAATTGTGTAAAAGTGACTATTTAACTTCTTTATCTTCAAAGCTTTAACTTCTAAAACCCGTCTGAAAAATACGTTTTCTCCAAGAATTTCTGCTCTGTGAGGGACTTTTTTCAGTGTAGAAATAAAAACAAGTCAGACGGAGTCATATCTGGAGAATACGGTGGATGGAGCAGCAGTTCATAGTCCAATTAGAGGAATTTATCCGTAACGACGACAGAGCTCTTAGCAGGTGTCTTGTCATGTTCGATTTTTTGATCATGGTATTTAAAATTGAATATTTCCATACTGAATCGTAGGATTTACTAATGTCGAAAAATATTCCAATACAGTGTTGGTTGATTGCGAAAGCCTCATGCATTTCCGATTCTACATCAATAAGGTTGTTTACAGTACAACGACGCTTTCGGAAGCCACTTTTTTTCTGGTATAATTAGTTTCTTTGATTCCAGATACCACATGAGTCTGTTATTTATTATTTTCTCTAGCATTTTGCAGGGCCTCATTGTTCATCAAATGGGGCCGTTTTTGCCGCAGTAGCGAATCTGCCTAATAATTTGATATAGACATAGGGGCTTATGACCGTTTTTCACTTCTCTAGGTAGTCGATGTAAATCACACTTTGTGAATCATAGAAAAGGTGGCCACTGCATTTCCGGTCGGTATTCGCCTTCTTCGAACACGGAGAAACTCCACTGTTTCGACTATTACTTGGTCTCTGGTATGTACTTGTGGATCCATATTTCATCGAAGGTCACTAAACGACACAGAAACTTCTTCGAATTGCGCTTAAACAGAGTTAAACACTGCTCTGACTTGGTTTCACAGTTGCGATTGTTGTCCGGAGTGAGTAAACACGGCACTCAGCATGCCAACAGCTTCTCATGCCCAAAATTTTATGCCGCATATGACCCACGCGGTGTTTTTAGATACCTACTATCTCAGATATCTCGCACACCTTCAATCGGCAGTATACCAATACGATATGATGGATTTTTCTCACGTTATTCTCCGTGGTGGACGTTTTCGGGGCACTTAAGACGTGGCTCATAAAAAACCGACGTGCGAGCACGTTAAACCAATTTTTGGTGGTTACCATCAAAGGAAAAGATAAATTTGGGAAATGTACCGATAGAAAGGGTTGATAAATATAAAAACCTAGGAACCTGGATTTCAGATAATAATGACCAAACAATAAAAATTATAGGCCAGGGAAATAAGCAAAAAAAGTACCCTGTTTTTGACACTCGTCCGGCCAGGCAAACGACAGTTGTTTTGAGTAGTGTGGACCTCTGTAACAAAAACCTATATGTTTCCTGCAGTCGATTTTTTGGACTAAATTAGTTATTAACAAATTAAGTTCAAAAAACGGAAAATTTTTGCTTTTTTTCGTCTATCAGCAAAAAGTGGAGCAATTTAAACAAATTTTAGAGGAGAGGAAACTTATAAGTTATATAAAAACCTTCAAAATGGCGTTCTCAAAATGTTTCTATCCTTATTTGTTTTTTAGAAAGTTGCAAAATAAGTCAAAAATTTCGGTTTTTTATAAATGTTAATAACTTTTTTAAAAATAAACTTATAATATTTATATTTCATGGAATGGTGTGTCTTGTAGTGCTTAAAATAGGGTTAAAATTTCAAAGTGATCGGTGCAATAGTTTAAAAGTTATTTTATTTGTTTATCCCAAATTAACATTTTTTGCAACAATATAAGTCAGAAATTTATACAGTTTTAGAAATTGTAAGGGTTGTTTCTGGTAGAAGAAAACTTGTTTTATTATTTACATTAAAAAAATAGGAAAATTAATTTTAAATATTGCAAAATAATTTTGCAAAAACATGTCGATTTTTTGCTTATAAACAATTAGAATAACTTTTTAACCATTGACTGTAAAAATATTATTTTTACATATTTAAAAAGCTTGAATTTTTTCACAAATATAAATAAAAAAAAAGTTTGTCCTAAAATAATTTGGTACAAAGTTAGCCTCTTTTTTTATTTAATCCATAGCACCTTTGTTTATAACAATTAAGAAATCTAATTAGCGCTATTTAACAGAATATACATTATAGTTTTAAAGTACTAAATTTTAAAATTATTGCCCTTTAATGGAATCCTCCACAAAGCTTCAAAATGTATGTAAAATCAGTCGGCTTTGAAATTCTCGGGAGCTGAAGGGAGGAGGAAGGCGCTTTTAGCTGTATCTCTGTTCCTTTTTTATGTATTTCAACGTTTCTTTTTGAACTTGTATGTACTTTTTGCGTACATTACGAATATGCATTATTTCATTAAATAAATTGTCAAATAAACCACCTAATTTGTTTAAAAACAATTTTTTTAAATTTTTTTAGTAGTATTAAGTTAAGTTTGAATGTAAAACAGAAGTATTTGTCATTTCCTATATTTTGGGGACTAAGCCACAATTTAAGTTTATAATAAGTTTATTTTTGATGTTGCGATTTCTACTTCGGAAATCTTTCCCAGAATGCAGAACATTAATAAATTAATCAAATTTTGTTTTTGGTTACTTGGTAGGAAATTTTTCTGATAATTCTTTTGAGTGATTGATTAGTATGAGGAAATTCAGTAGATCTGTTATAGTAAAAATTACAAAAAAAATTATTGACAAAAATTGTAGACAGCTTTAAACTTCACATTTTTAAATTAGTTACAATCTTACAGGGAGTTCTATTAGATTGTGGCAGACCAAACTTATGTTTTTTAAATGAAACACCCTGTATTTTATTTTAAATTTAAAATCTGCTTCACTTCCACATCACAATAATGTAAAGTACTAATATCGTACTGTACATTTTATGGAATACTTCCTATACCTAAAGTTATCAATTTTCTAGATAAGTATTAATTTGGTAGATATTTGAACTTTTACCAATAATTATTGGGAGTTGGCCACGATTGATTTGTCAGAAACTGACAGTTTGACATTATTGTTTTTTAATTCAGTAACGAGATAACGACACAGAAAAGAAAACAGTTTGTTTCAAATAAAATTTATAAAAAATAACCGACAGAAAATAAAAAAATTAACAACACATAAAAAAATAAAAAACAACTGTAATTTTAACTAATCATACTTAAGTAAGGTGTTCAAAATGACCTCCCAAAACATCTATGCATACTTGAAAACGGTCATTGAAAGAGTTACTTACATTACTAAGCATTTGTAAAGAAATATTTTGAAATGCAATTCGAATTCTATTTTTTATATCCCTTGTTGTTGAAGGTATTATATATACTTCGTGCTTAATGTAACCCCAAAAAAAAAGTCCACTTTATTGAATTCTGGTGACCTTGGGCCACCCCTTGAGATCCATCTTTCACCAAACTGATCATTAAGTTCACCACATACTAATTCGTTGTGGTACGCAGAAGCACCTCCATGTAGAAACCACATTTATTCACGTATATTAAGTGGAACCTCTTCTAATAATATCGGTAACTGATGTACGATAAAATGTAAATAAATCTTACCATTTACGTTATATTTAAACAAATATGGTTCTACTATATGGTTACCTACGATACTTCCCCACACATTTAAAGATTATCTTGTTTGACTATGTGTTACTATTTGGTATGGATTACTTGTTGAATAATAGTGAAAGTTATTTATGCCTATTAACAGAACCGTTTCAGTGGAATGCAGCTTCATCACCAAATATGATATAATCAAAAAAATCTCTGTTTATTAATTTTTTTAAGGCCCATTCACAAAATACTATTCGTTTCTGAAAATCATCATCATTTCATTCCTGGTGCTTTTGAATATGATATGGGTGCATCTTGTTTTTAGATAGAATGTTTGAATGAACAGAGTAGTAACTAAGCTCTTGCTTATTGGAAATACTCCTTATACTTGTGAGTGGGTTATCTGTAACTGCCATCAACACACTCATTTCGTTTTCCTCTGTCACACTAGTTTTTTTTCGTTCATGTTTTTCATAATTCATTGAACCAGTGCGGTTAAATCAATCCTTCAATTTTTCAAGTTTATCTTGTCTAGGTTGTCGCCTATCTGGAAACCGTTCATGATAAATTCTAGCTGATAGTAATGAATTTTTATTGCATTCCCCCAATATCCAGATCATATTTATCTATCATTTCATCAGTAGTAACATTCATTATTGCTA